GGAGAGCCTCGGAGCACATGTTTCTCATCCCATGGGGACATGTGCTGAGCAAAGCCGAAATCTGCAGGCAAGAGGCCAGGCCCCAGGGCTCAAATCCCAGCTGCTTCCACTCCAGGTCTTTAAAGTTTCTACCCTGGACACCAACTACAGACGCATCAGGGTCAGTTTGACTTCCCAGCCCGGGTTCATGCCATCCCTTTCATGTTTAGCGTGGAATGCCCACCTACATCTTCCTTCCTGAATTGTAAATCCTACCCTTCTCCCTGCACAGCCCCTTCAGACACCCAGTCCCAGGAAGCTCTTCCTGATCACATTAGCCATATGGACAAGCCCCCACTGAAAACCAGAACTCTCCTTCAGCGCTTAGGTAATGTCAGGTGTTCTAGTTTCTAGCTTCAAGTCCAATCTTTTCCAAATCTTGTCAGTAGCCACAACCACTACTCTCCCTATCTCCAAACTCACAACATCCTACCCTGCTAAGGACAGAATCCCAGGCTGAGCCCTGACCCTGACCTCAAACTGCGCCTCAACCCCATCCACTACACTACTGAAGTCGAGCAACGGACAGAAGTTCTACCGTTTGCTGGTGGGGGCCCAGCTCTGGTTCTCCCAGTATGCTACTATGTGAGGACTTACTAGAGGAATCTATGAGAACCCGGGGTGCTGAGTGAGTTCAGGCAGAGGGTGGTCTCTGCACAGCCCCACTCCAAACCTCATTCCTGCTGTTCCATCCAGATGCACACCTGCCAGTTTGAGGTGGGGCTTCTCCAAGGAGCTCAGCAGAATGTTCTGTGGCTTCAGATCCAGGTGAGAGATGTTCCGTTCATGCAGGAATTGCAGGGCACTAGCTGGGGAGTGGGATCCATGCAGACAGGTGGAAGAAGCCCAGCTCCCCAACCTGTCTCTTGCCTCCTCAGACTTACACTTGCCTCTTCCAGCACACATGACCCTGTTTCTGGCCTGGCTGTTCCGCTGAATGCTTCACATACAAGGAAGCTTCAATAAGTTTGTGAAAACATGGAATTGAAAGATAATGGAATTTTTCCATGAACTTTTTGAAGCTCTTCTGTGTTTGTTCTAGGCTCTTGTCTCTTCTAAGAGTTTACCCGCTGCCCAGAGTCTCTTCCCTCCTACCCTTTGGCAAGTTTCCCACCCCCAGGAAGCCTTGGCAAAAACACATGGGCCCTGGAATATTCTGAGTGTTCTACATGTGGGAGCCTGGACCCCCACAGATGGGGGATCTTCACTCTCTGTTTTCCTCACAGTGTTCTTGAGCTAAGGCTGGGCACATGGGAACTATGGGGCCCTAAAAATCTAAGCTGAGGCAGTGAGGTTGGAGGACAGAGAAGACAGGAAGAGGTATCTGGTTGGTGTTAGAGGCTTTTACCTAACTGCTGCATGAAGACACGAGCCACCTTCTCGGGCAGAATCCTGCGAGCATGGATGAAGCGAGACAGGTCACCACCTGCGCAGAACTCCATG